ATATTGGGTCGGACAAGGTCGTTGACCCTACCGGAGCTGGGAACGCGTTCCTCGGGGCCTTTGCTGTTGCGTACAAGAAGACGGACGATGCGGTTCTTGCGTCTGCCTATGGTGCCGTGGCGGCTAGTTTTGTGATTGAACAAATGGGGCCGCCAAAAAGGGAGGTCGTGGACGAGAGGGTACTCTGGAATGGCGAGGAGTTTGGGGAAAGGTTAGAAGCATACAAAATCAAAGCCAGGACGTGGGACACCAGCATCGTAAGCTGCCAGTTCAGGAACAACCCAGCCTGGGCTGAACGAAAGGAGCTGTTCCAATAGGGTCCATAGGTGGGTATCAAGACTCGTCTATTTTGTGTTTTTATATCTCTTTTCCCAAAAGTAAAAAATCCGTAATCATGCGAGAAACCTCGTCTATAAACTTCCATCCCCTTTCCATTCACACTGCACGCCTTCACTAACTCCCATTTACCGGATGACCTGGGTACCCTCCGCCGGCTCGAGGATCTTCCATTGGCAGCCGACATCCTTGTTGGAGTTGTTCTCCTTGAGGATCTTGATGATCCTGTTGGCAATCTCCTCAAAGTTGCTCGTGGCGAGGGCGAGGATGGTGGGGCCGGCGCCGGAGAGGCAGACGCCGAGGAAGCCGGGCTGCGTACCTGGGGACATGCTCTCGACGATCTGGCTCAGGCCGGGGATGAGGGTCTGGCGGTAGGGCTGGTGGACCTTGTCCTGCATGGCGAGGTGGATGAGCTCCGGATCCGGGGGCGAGGAGCCGAGGGCGACGGGGAGGAGGGCTATTCTTTGCATGTTGAAGGTCTGGCGTCTTGTATTAGTGAACGTGTTCTTGAGAAATGATGGTCGACCAGGGCCAAACTTACAACATCGGGACGGGAGTAGTGAGGAGGAAGGACCTCGCGGGCAAGGTGGGTGGGGACCTGGAAGTCGGGGATGATGGCGATGGCCTTGATCTCCTTGGCCCAGGGGAACTTGATGTGGTGGCCGATGCCGTGGGGAGGCTCGGGCGGGGTCTCGCCGGTGTCGACGCCGCCGGCCGGGGCGGGGAGGACCTCGCTGAGCGGGATCTCGATGCGCTGGACGTCTTCGGGCTTCAGGGGGCGGAGGTAGGTGCCGACGAAGCCGCCGTACAGCGAGGCGCCGACGTTGTCGGGGTGTCTCTCTGCAATGTGTGTGAGTGACTCGGTCCTACATCAGATGAAGAGTGACATACCAATCATGAGACAAAAGTCGAATAACCTGTCGAGGTCGAGGTGGTCGAGGTGGCCGACTTCCTTGCCGAGCATGACGCCGGCGACGACGGCGGAGCCGGAGCTGCCGAGGCCGCGGCCGAGGGGGATGGGGTTCTTGATGTGGACATGGGTCTCGACGGGGAACATGCGCTGGCCGTGGCAGCGCAGGACGTAGAGGGCGACGCGGGTGATGAGGTTGACGGAGGGGTCGAGGCTGATGTCCGGGGTGCCTTCGCCCTGGCCCTCGTAGGTGATGCGGCAGTTGAGGGGCTCGGATGAGGTCTGGACGGAGCGGTCGATGGTGACGTGCAGCTCGAGGTAGATGGAGAGGGCGAGGCCGATGACGTCGAAGCCCGGGCCGATGTTGGCGGAGGACGACGGCGTCTTGATCACGAACGTCTCTTTGGTCATGGCGGGCGGGCAGGCGGTGTAAGTTGAGAGGGTGAGGGGTGAGTTTCTGGTGGTGGTGAGGGGGCGGCCTGACGTTGGTTCGCTCTGGCCTGACCGGCGGACGTGGTTCAATTGGCGGTGATCTCAACGGTTCGGCTTGGAGGGGTGAGTGTCTTTTGCTTCCGAGTGAGATGAAGCCGTCACGGAGGTCGCTACGGGTGTGAAATGAGCGTGAGTCGCGTCTATCTGGTGGCCACTAATCGTTCCGTGACTCAAAAAATTTGAGAGGCCCCGATGACGGAGGAATGCGGCACACGGCGGGCGGCTCTCAATTGGCGGGGTGTGTGAAGCACTGAAACCCTACGCGGAGTGCGGGGTGTTTTTCGCGTGCACCCATTGGCCAATCCGTGCTGAGACGGGGCATTTTTATCTTATCGCTCCCGCGCGCATCACGCCATGTCCTTCTCATCTGTTTGAGTTTGGCTGCTCGATGGTGTGAGTGTTTGCCAATGAAGGTCGCTTCTTTTGACCTCACCTCATGCGATGCTGGCTGTGTTTTTCACTCTTGGTGAAGAGCCCGAGTGGAGGGATATGTTGCTACGATGACACATCATGCTAGCTATATCAGAGCTGAGTATAACCTCGGCCTTGGAACTCGAAATGAGCTTCATGCGACGCGAGAAACAAACACTCGGCTGCACAAGACTTTCATACCCATGTCCCTCGCCCATCGACTGATGGTTGACTCGAGAAACGAAACGAAACACGGCCGTTCTCGTTGATCGTCGATGTTTGCGGGCTGCAACGTCTTGTTATCGGATGGCCTGAGGTCCCACGCTGGAGCAGCGATCGACATGAACCCGCTTCATTATCTGAACGTCACGTCGCTCTGCCATCTCCCTTGTTCTGACATCAAACCAACTCACATCTCCGCCTTTTTATATTGCCCTCACCCTGGGAGGCTCGTACTCGGTCAGCTGTCGACCTTTGCACCCCAGACATTTTGATACGATATCACATATCCAGCAGCCCACCGGGTCCTCACTCACCTTCACGCCTCCGATCATTGCCGAAAGCATTGCTTGCTGTCAGCGTCCCGGTGGGTGCGCTGCAATGCCCAGCCCGCATCCCAAGTCAATATTATCCCAGATCGCGCGCTCCCGTCGGACTCCCGCAGCGATGCTAGACCCATTCACCGCCTCCGCGATATCTACCGGAAACATCGAAAAGCAAGCGGAGAAACAGGAGCGACAAGACCTCGTGTTTCTGCCGAGCCAACCGCACCAAAGCTCCACCGATCCCCATCAAACAATGCCCACCGGCAGTGTACCGTGAAGAAGCTTATGGAAAAAGCGACCGGGGGTGGGCGATCTCGCAGATGTCACGAACGCTGTGCGGCCGATGTCCCCGAATATCTATTCTCGGATTTTCCAAGGCTACATCATTGCAACCTGAACCTCTGGAGACTGGATGAACTAAGGGTTCCCTCGCATCGGGCTTCCCGCGGAGTGAGGCATCGCACAGCCCGAACCTCGTTCTCCGCCCGTAACAAAAACACACGATGAGACTGGCGCGCTGATCACCGCGCTTGCGCGCTTGTAACGTTGCTCGGCTGGATGGTCAGCGTAAAGCGAGGCTGTTGCCTCTTAGTCTTGGGCACCGAGCGGAGGCTTCGGGGGTCATCTTTTCGCCGTCGCGGGGAGCTATGCGGCGACGGCGTCTCATTGGCGTCATGCCCATGTTGTGGTCATGCTCGTGGCAGCAGGAGGATTTTCCGGGAGGCTCAGTCGCTTTTAGTCTGTTGACAGAGTAGGGACTAACGTCCGCCACTGCCGTACTTTGCAGCGCGGAGCATTTCTACGCCTCATCCTTCCGAGAAACGACAAATCACTCGAAAAAGAGCATGTCTCCCCGAGCTGAGAGATGAACAGAGCCCGACGGGGTCGCATTCGGCGGATGCGTGCGTTGGCGAAGAGACCGTTCCTGGCATTGTGAACACGAGGAAAACCAGAGACCACCTGACGTTGCGTCCCGCTGAAGTTTCTATGGGGCGACGCCGATGAGTTAAGGCGAGTAATTAGGGTCGCAATGGAAAAGCCGACTGAGGCTCCGTTGCACTGGGCGAGGCGGGCGGCAGAAAGGCAAAAACGACAAGAAAAGAAACAACACCAGATCGACTCAGCCTGCGACGTGCTGACTCGAAGGGCGAAGAGGATTTCCCGTGCAGCTGGTGTCGAAGCATGAATATGAGTTGTAACTTGTTGATGTCCCACCACGAGAAAGAAGCGGCGGCATTTGGTGGAGGCTGGCAACAACTGGGGCGCAACTCTGATGGAACCTCGACGGAAAACATCGAACCAACGGGCGAGCAGCCCACTGTAGAGCACTAACCTCAATCGACCCTAGGGGAATTGCGACTGCTAAAAACAGAAGGATGACAGCCATCCCGCCGCGCCGTCCGTCGTCGGCCGCAGCCACTCAGGCAATCGCGTGGCCAGGGAATACGAGAATCTCATGGTGAGCCCACCTACCTATCCGCACCCGACCTCAGTCCAATTCGTAGGTACTGAGCACTGAGAGTGAGAGTGAGAGTGAGAGAGAGAGAGAGAGAAGATCCTCGGCTCCGGATGTTGTTTGCCTGCGGCCTTCCTCCATCATCTACCTACCCACACACACACACCCATGCAGCAGCAGCAGCAGCAGCAGCAGCAGCAGCACAAGACCCCTGTCTTGCTTCTTTCCCCACGACCAACAACATCCAAGATCTGTGATCGGCGCTTTTTCTCACCTTACCTTACCTTAGCCCGGCCTTGCCCGCCTCTGCTAGCGTAGCATCGCACCTTCAATACGAATTGACGGAACCTAAGGAACCCTGGGGAAGTAAGGCTTCGTTCGGTTACTAGCTTCTTCCCCTCTCCGGCAGTCTTCCCATACGATGTGACATGCGACATGGAGTCTTGCCAAGCTTGACGTAGCAAGGGTCCTGTGCCGGTTCCATGTCACGACATGACGCTATTGCCGGAGACACCACAACGTCATGGTCATGGCTCGCCGTTTGGACACGGCTGGTGCCTCCTCTCCATCCACTCGGTCTGGTGATGGAGCTCTAGCCTCCGCTGGCATGTGGGCTGTGGGGGGCGAGGGAGGATGTGGGCGTGGATGGACGGAAACCGAGGAGGCTGATGGATCTCGCAGGCAGTCGAGATTCTATAAAGAGAGTCGAGGAGCTCACGACATCCGACCTGTTTTTTTTCATCATCCTCATCAGCTTCTTCACCAGCCTTCTCAGCCTCAACCTCAACTACAAACAACTCCTCTTCACTACCAAGCTCCCGAGCCTCATCCACCCACCACAACAGCCAAAATGCAGTTCTCCAGCCTCGTCACCATCCTCTCCTCCGTCGCCGCCGCCGCGGCCGTCTCCGTCTCCTTCGACACCGGCTACGATGACGGTGCCCGCTCCCTCACCGCCGTCTCCTGCTCCGACGGCGCCAACGGCCTGATCACCAAGTATGGCTGGCAGACCCAGGCCAACGTCGCCCGCTTCCCCTACATTGGCGGTTCTGACGCCATTGCCGGCTGGAACTCCCCCAACGTGAGCCCCCTCACCTCTTCACACTTCTCACATGAGCATCACCACTAACACGAGACAACAGTGCGGCACCTGCTGGCAGCTCACCTACAACGGCAAGAGCATCAACGTCCTCGCCGTCGACCACGCCGGCTCCGGCTTCAACCTCGCCCTCGGCGCCATGAACGACCTCACCAACGGCCAGGCCAACCAGCTCGGCCGCATCGACGCCCAGGCCACCCAGGTCGCCCTCAGCGCCTGCGGTCTGTAAATCACCACACGACCTCGGCGGTGTCTTACGATATTAAAAACATTAATGTCTTGTTTAAAGCATAATGGGGTTGTCCCACGGGGGGGGCCTCTAAACATCTGCATGGAACCGGCGCTCTTCAATCATTTGGCATATGCATACCACGATACATTCCTTAGAACATTAAAACATAATGAGAGATATGGCTGTTTAGCCTCAGACAGCCTTCATTCTTGATCTTTATAGTGACTTCAACTTTCTCAGTTACCTAGCTTCATTCGGAACATCTTGGCTTTCACGAATAACTAACTCGCATGCAATGCACCCATCGCTGATTTAAGCTATGGTCAGTACCAGTGCCTGGTCTGTTGAAGCAAATCAAAATCGGAACGATGGTAACATTCGCCACAGCCATTTGGACGATCTGGGATCCAACTTCCATACAAGATGGGTTTGAATACCTCTTCCGCTTGTTCGTCGTGTACACGTACCCCTCTATGCGCCCCTTGGCTTCATGTTAGTGGAAGAATTTATGGAATCCTCTTCTTCACGCGGTTCATCACTATTTAACGACCATCATGCACGAAAATAAGGTCAAGTAATAAATGAGATCATTTTTTATGGGAAACTACTGCGATTTCATAGCGATGGGTGGCTTTAGGTAGGAAGCCACGGAGGACGTCTAAGCTGCAGCTGACCCGTCAAACTTTTCCAAATTTGTTTTCCGTTCTGAATGAGCAAGACAATAACCAAAGACGAAGATGAAACAACTACCTCTCAAGCAACAATCTGGATGCTCAGTGCAACAGCGCTTTATTTCAGACCAGTCACACTGATGGACAGGTAGGGTTTGGCAGTCGGGGGAGCGCCGGCCGACGCTCTCGTCCACTTGGGTACGAGATGAACGGGTACTTCCACCGACACCACGGCGCGGGTGGTGTCGTAATTGAACGCCAGCTTGCTGTCCGTAACGTCGTGGCCATCCTGGTTCTTGAATGTGACGTCTACCTGGGAGGGGTTCGTGGGGGCGCCGTCCTTCACGGCCCAGATGGCGAAATAGTAGGTGTCGCCGATGGTGTCAATAGCATCGAAGTTGTCCCACGGGTGCGAGATGGTGATGGAGCGACTTGTTTTGTTTTGGTAATCCTAGGGTTTTCAAGATCAGATCTTCCGGCAGCACGGCACGGGAGGTGAAAACAAACCTGGGTGATGTGGACGTCGCGGTATTTGTTGCCGGCGCCTTCATTGCTTGGGTGGTTGGGGTGGTCGCTGAACTGAGGGAGCCAGTCAGGGGCACTGTCACGGCTGACGCCGTCGTCCAGGAACATGTTGTACTCCTGGAGTAAATGTCAGTCAAGTTTGCTTCTAGGAGCATAGGGAAAAAGATGTACCGTGTGCTTTCTTCCTGGGTAGACGTGGATCGTGACGGGGTTGTGCTCCTTTTCTTCGATGGACTGACGAACGTCAATCTGGGGGATAATGGCACCTGTGAAAGTATCAGCTTGGCTGTCATGACTGTTCATTGGGACAGATAAATTGCATACCTTCGCGGATGTATACGGGCGTCACGAAAGCCATCTGCTCCGGATCGTGAACGGCGTCGGGAATCCCGCAGCCGAAGCTGATGGTCGAGCCACCGGGCACAGACTTCTCCAGCTGTGCGGCGTGCTTGAAGATTGGATCAAGTCCGAAGCCTTGCGCGTTCACACGCAAGTTGGACGGGTACCAGTGGTCGGTGCCAGGCAGGTAGACGTCACGGTTGTAGACCCCTGGGTTCAATACGGGGCACACCATGATGTTGTGGCCGAGGAGGTACTGGTTGTCGATGAACTCGTCATTGTCGTTGAAGAGGCTCGTGTCGTCGGGGTCGGTGATGAGCTTCACGCATGTGTTAGAACATAGATTACGGCTGGGGGAAAGGGGCTCCAGTGAGAACGTACCATTGCTCGTGCGATTGGAAGTCCGTGGATGAGGTTTGCGAACATGGCATCGTAGAGCACCTGCATCAAGGAGTATCGCAGTTGAACGTAGTAACGGCACAGTGGCATGACCGATGCATACTGAGTTTGCAGATTGCTAGGAATCAAGGAGCTGTATCTTGAGTCGCCCAAGGCATCGCCATACTTGAATGGTTCCTGGACCTTGCTTAGACGGAACTCAAATCATGAATTTGGAGCAGGATGACTCACTTGGAATGCCTTCGAATCGAAGTGCTGGATATAGTGGTTGCGGTACCACGGCAGCAGAAAAGCGCCGGTATACCAACGGACAAGCAATTCGGGGTCACACCAGCGCGGTGCCGGAGGCTGGTTGTGCGGGTCAGGAGTAAAGCCTCCCATGTCCACGCCGGCGATGGTGAGACCACTGTATCCCAGGGCGAGAACCTGGGATACCGAGATTCTCCAGAAGTCCCAGGAACTGCCGTTGTCGCCGGTCCACAGGCCAGCAAAGCGATGCATACCGGTCTGGCTGCCGCGGCCGATGATGAAGTTGCGCTTGTTCTCGCGGCCCTTGAGCTTGTTCAGGCCGTGGTAGGTTGCCTTGTGAAGGTTGTATGAGTAGAGAGCCCAGAGCTCGATGGCCGTCTTCTGGTCGGGCTTCTTGTCTGACTGCTGGCTGATGGTGTCTTCGGACATGAGAAGTCTGGAGGGGAATCTGTGATGCTTGTTAGCTCTGAAGCGTGAAGTAGACTTCCACCAGCCGTCTTGATGGGCATGCAGAAACATTACACTTACCCCAACATGTCGCCATAACAGTTTCCAGCCGCTGGCGTCGTCATATCCTGCCAAACAAACTCGAGACCGTCGTCGAAGAGTTGTTGGTATTGTTTGCCCCAGGTTTCACGCGCAACGGCACGGTTGAGGTCCGGATAGTACCCCACCTAAGTACATATTCGTTAATTATCGAGATGACCGTAGCAGGAAGACGCTGTCTTACCGTTCCAAGTCGGCTGCCGTAGCTGACGCCTCCATGGAAAGGATATCCACTGTTGTAGTTTCCGGGTGGTTTGCCCTCCTCCAACTGCATGAAAACATAGTCATCTCTGTAGGGGGTCGCGCCGTTCGGGTCATCTGCGAACGTGATGCGGTCGTTCAAGTCGTTGGGATTCAGGTACGAAGGCGTGGCGTATCCTCCATCGTACCTCGTGCACCCATTGGCTGGGAAATCCGACGGCAGGCCTGACATGTATCTATTGTCGCCGACGAGAAGACTAGACATATTTCAGCACAAATTCCAGTGAATGCCAACGGTTAGTCTCACTTGGTTGCAGGATCTAGCTTCTTGCTCTGGTCCCAGAAGGCTCGTAAGGCGAAGTATTGGTCCGCATCCGACTCGCGCAAAGTCAAGATGGGCGTGATGTTGGTACAGCTCTTTACGCCAAGTTTCCTGAGATTGCTGAAAAAGGTCTTGACGTTCGGAAATCTGGCTGCGCTATGTGTAAAAGTGCGATAGCGATCCTGTGGGAGTCAGAATTATAGAGTATCTTTGAGATGGCTCAGACTCACCTGGAAGTCTACATCAAGGTGCATTCCGTCAAGAGGGAAGCCCAAGTCATGGTACCTGTTCGCGACGTTCATGACATCTGAGGTATTCTGGTAGCCGTAGCCTGGGCTGGTGAGCTATCCTGTTCATTTGACTGGGGTCAGGAATCCTTGAACTTACATCCTTGGTGGTGACCCAGAATGAAGCGCGGCTTGAGCTTAGGACGTCCCACAAGTGAGGTGTACTGCCTAAGAGCACGTGTTAGAAGAAGGCTGACCGACAGTCTGAAGGACTTACCAAATCATTCTGGGCACGTCGTCCGCAGTCATCACGTAGGCATCAAAGGTGCCAAAGCGAGTCGCTACGCCAATGGTGCTGGCATTCTTCTTGCCAAGGTCGATTGCAACTTGGGAGTAGTTGTCGACCATTAGACCGGTCACGTTTCGAAATCCCGGGGTACCGTTCATCTCCAAGTAGAATGGAGTGGAGTGGTATCTGACCCATCAGTTTCGATCTAACCCGGTGTACCTGGGGATAACTTACAGGGGCTCCTTGGTGTCCAGAGGACCTTGACCATAGACTTTCTGGTAGTTGAAGTTGTCGTAGCCTAGTCGTGTCAGTTACTGGTCGTCGGCTAGAGCGAGCATGGATACGTACAGAAGTAGTTCATGTAGGTGGGCTCCTTCAAGACGGTTCGTCCTCCCTGCTCACCGAATCCGAGGTACTGAGCCGGGCCAGGCTTTTCAATATTGAGGACAACATTGTTGATTGCGCCAATGCCCTGTTGGCTTCCATCTTGGTGGCAAAACGTCTCAATCGTTGTACGCCAGATGACGTGCTCCGTCGCGGTGGTTGTGATGCCGACATCAGTCAAGGTAGCGACGTCCGATGGGTCCAGTTTTCTGGTAGCCTACAAAAAGTGAGCTTACAGACGGTAAAATAAGTGAAAGTTCACGTACGATGATACGGAACGGCTCCGCCAGAAAGTGAAGGCTTGTAACCTCGGTTCCCGCGGTATCCGCCTTGTTCTTGTATTCCTTGGACTACGATTTTGGTCAGCAGCGGTTCGCATGAGAAAGTGAGAGGGCAAATTACTTACCGTAAGAACCCAGTGGACATCAGATATCTTGTTAAAAGTCGTGTTCCAATTCCATTCATTCCCAGCTTCGACCGCATTCCATGCCAAAGATTCCCGGTACTCGACCTTGAGTTGATCTACAAGATCCGAAAACTTGTTCATCACAATCGTGCGCCTATACATCGACGTGTTAGTAGTACGATATGGGCAGAAATGATGGCAAGCACTCACGAGTTGTCGTTTGGATAATCTTCGACCTTCGTGAACTTCGGGTTGTATCTGATTCTCCAAATCTGCGGCGTGACGAATTGAACCAGAGCCTGGGTGGGCTTGGTGCCGTCGTCGGCCGAAAGGGATACTTGAGCAGCATAGCGGAGGGGATTATTATCCTTAAGCTCTGACGTGGAAGACTGCACGTTCAAGAGCTTGGTTGACTTCTCGAAATTGGGGACGTCCTGGT